CTGTAAAGCAAAGGACACTGTCACTGAGACACAAAGGCAACCTACTGACTGGGAGAAGATCTTTACCAACCCCGCAACAGACAAAGGTCTGATCTCCAAAATATATAAAGAACTCAAGAAACTAGACTTTAAAATGCTAATTAACCCAATAAAAAAATAGGGCACTGAACAGAGAATTCTCAACAGAAGTTCAAATGGCTAAAAGACACTAAAGGTCATGCTCAACCTCCTTAGCAATCAGGGAAATGCAAATCAAAACAACTTTGAGATATCATCTTACACCTGTCAGAATGGCTAAAATCAAAAACACCAATTATAGCCTTTGCTGGAGAGGCTGTGGAGGAAGGGGTACACTCATCCATTGCTGGTGGGAATGCAATCTTGTGCAACCACTTTGGAAATCAGTGTTTCGGTTTCTCAGGAAATTCGGGATCAACCTACCCCTGGACCCAGCCATACCACTCTTGGGAATATACCCAAAGGATGCCCGATCATATGACAAAAGCATTTGTTCAACTATGTTCATAGCAGTATTATTTCTAATAGCCAGAACCTGGAAACAACCTAGATGTCCTTCAATGGAAGAATGGATGAAGAAAGTGTAGAATATATACACATTAGAGTACTACGCTGCAGTAAAAAACAATGACTTCTCGAATTTTGCATGCAAATGGATGGAAATAGAAAACACTATCCTGAGTGAGGTATCCCAGACCCAAAAAGATGAACATGGGATGTACTCACTCATAATTGGTTTCTAGCCATAAATAAGGGTCACGGAGGCTACAATTGGTGAACCTAAAGAAGCTAAATAAGAAGGTGAACCCAAGGAAAAACATATAGTTATCCTCTTGCCTATGGGAAGTAGACAAAATTGCCGGGGAGGAAAGTGGGATCTTGGGGGTGGGGTGGGTTGGGGGTAAGGGGAGATGGGGAGAGAAAAGTGAGAAGAGGAGGATGGGGGGAACTTGGGGAAACAGGATGATTGGGATAAAGGAAGGCTGGATAGGGGAGCACGGAAGCACAATTCTTAGTTAAGGGAGCCACCTTAGGGCTGGCAAGAGACTTGAACCTAGAGTGGCTCCCAGGAGCCCAAGGCGATGTCCCCAGTTAGTTCCTTGGGCAGCTGAGGATAGGGAACCTGAAACGACCCTATCCTAGAGCAATACTGACGAATATCTTGCATATCACCATAGAACCTTCATCTGGTGATGGATGGAGATAGAGACAGAGACCCACACTGGAGCACTGGACTGAGCTCCCAAGGTCCCAATGAGAAATGGAAATAGGGAGAAGATGAGCAAGGAAGTCAGGACCACAAGGGGCGCACCCACCCACTGAGACAGTGGGGCTGATCTATTGGGAGCTCACCAAGGCTAGCTGGACTATGACTGAAAAAGCAAGGGATAAAACCAGACTCTCTGAACATGGCTAACAATGAGGGCTGATGAGAAGCCAAGGACAATGGCACGGGGTTTTGATCCTACTTCATGTTCTGGATTTGTGGGAGCCTAGCCAGTTCGGATGTTCACCTTCCTAGACATGGACGGAGGGGGGAGGACCTTGGACTTTCCACAGGGCAGGGAACCCTGACTGCTTGTTGGACTGGAGAGGGAGGGGGAGAGGAGTGGGGGGAGGGGGGAAAGAGTGGGAGGAGGGGAAGGGAAATGGGAGGCTGGGAGGAGGGGGAAACTTTTTTTTTCCTTTTCTCAATAAAAAAAAAAAGATTGGGCTGTAGACAAGTCTGCAGGGCATTTTCTTAATTAATGATTAAGGGGCCGACCCAGCCCGTTGTGGGTGAGGCCACCCCTAGGCTGGTAGTCCTGGGTTCTACAAGAAAGCAGGCTGAGCAGGCTATGGGAAGCAAGCCAGTATTAAGCAACACCCCTCATGGCCTCTGCTTTAGTTCCTGCCTCCAAGTTCCTGCCCTCACTGCTTTTGATGATGAACTGTCATATGAAACTGTGAGTGAAATGAACCCTTTCCCTTCCCAAGCTACTTTTTGGTCATGGTGTTGTACCACAGCAATAGTAACCCTAACCAAGTCAGTGCCATCCAAATTTCAATGGGATTCCATATAGGGCTACTAAGAAAAGCAAAACAAAAACAATCAAACAAATGAATACTAAGCAATACTAAAAAGAAGAAACAATGCTGGCAGCATTATAATACCTGATCTAAAACTATACTAACAGAGACACAATGGCAAAAATAATAGTGGTACTGTACAGAGACCAATGGTATACAAGACAGAACCTAGAAATTCAGAAAGCTACAGCCACCACACCTTACACAAATGTGTTAAAAAAAATAAAAATAAAAGGACAAAGGAAGCCTTTTCAACAAATAGTGCTGGTAAACTGGATATTCAATGTAAAAGAAGGAAACTAGGTCCGTATCTTCCACCCTTCACACACACACACACACACACACACACAGACACACACAGACACACACACACACACACACACACACACACTATAAACTAGGATAAAGACCAAGGCCTACAGCTGCTAGAGGAAAATAAGCAGAACATTCAAAGCAGGAAAGACCTTTTTCACAAGGACTCTAGCAGCAGCATATATAAGCAATTCTAACAACTGAAAAATGGGATTATATAAAATTTAAAAATTTCTAAATCAAAGAAAACTATGAACAGATCAAAGCAGCTACCTGTAGAATATGGATTAATATCTAGAATCTATAAAGAACTACAAGTTAGGGGCTGGAGAGACAGCTTCGGGGTCGAGAGCATTGGCTGTTCTTTCAGAGGACTGGGGTCAGTTCCCACCCACAATGCAGTTTATAGCTGTCTGTAACTCCAGTTCCAGGGGATCTGATACCTTCATGCACATAAAATAAAAGTTAAATAAATTATTTTAAAAAACAACAAGTTAAACACAACAAAATAAATCTGATCATCTAATCAATAATTAATCTAAAATAGAGAATTTTCAAAGAAAGAAATACAAATGGCCAAGAAACATTTGAAAATAGGTTTTCAAAAGGCTTAGACATCAAGAAAATACAAAAATAAAATGCTTTGAGATTGCATTATACTTCATCAAAATGGCTCTCATGAAGAAAAGAAATGCTGATGGAGGTGTAGGAAGAGAGCAACCCTTATAAGCTGCTGGTAGGAGGGTAAGCTTAGAGCACCATGGAAATCAGTATAGAGGCCTCTCATAAACACTAAGAGTAGAACTACCGCATGATCCAGTCATATGACTCTTATGCATACATCTGAAGATCTAAAGCGGCCACCAGAGATGCTAGCACAGTCACATCTACTGTTGCACATTCACAACAAAGTACAGAACCAGCCTGACGTCTACCAACAGATGACCAGATGATGAATAGACTTTTAAAATATGGTACAAAATCACAATGGAATTTTATTCTTTTGTAAAGAATGAAGTTATATCCTTTGTAGGAAAATGGATGAAACAGTAAATATATGAAGCAAAATGAGCCAGATTCAAAAAGACAAAAACTACATATTTTCTGCTACATGCAAAATACATAATATACACACGTGCACACACATACACATAAAGACAAACATGGATACATACATTCATACACACATACACACAGATGACATGAAAGCAGAAAAGGAACTGAGAGTGGAGGAAGAGGTCTGAAGGAGGGGATAGAAAGAACACAAAGGTGTACTCAAACACTGACGAGAGCAGAAAATGGAAGGTGCTCAGCAAGAGGGAGTGTAGTGGCTTGAAAGAAAATGACCCCCAAAGGGAATGGCACTCTTAGGAGGTGTGGCCTTACTAGAGGACGTGTGTCACTGTGAGGGCAGGCTTTGAGGTCTCTTTTGCTCAAGATTCCCTCAGTGTGACAGTCAATCAACATTTTCTAACCTTCTGGTCAAGATGTAGTCAGCACCACATCTGCCTGCATGACAACATACTCCCCATTATGATGATAATGGACTGAACCCCTGATTCTGTAAGCTATCACCTCAATTAAATGTTTTCTTTGTAAGAGTTGCTGTGGTCATCGTGCCTCTTTACAGAAAAAACAAACAAACAAAAACAAGAAACACCTAAGACAGGAAGAAAGGAAAACGGGGAAGGGTAGTTGGGTGAGGCAAATAAGAACAAAGTATAATGAAATACACACATAAAGGGAGCTAGAGAAAGGAAAGGGAAGAGGAAAAGTGATATGTATATTTTAATTAAAAATCTACTTTTAAAAATGTCACCATGAGACCCATTTCATTACTAACGAAAAAACATAAACCTAATGATTCTTAAAAATCTGCATTGAGGGGCTGGAGAGATGGCTCAGAGGTTAAGAGCACTGGCTGCTCTTCCAGAGGTTCTGAGTTCGATTCCCAGCAACCACATGATGGCTCACAGCCATCTGTAATGAGATCTGGTGCCCTCTTCTGGCCTGCAGACATATATACAGACAGAACACTGTATACATAATAGATAGATAGATAGATAGATAGATCGATCTAAAAAACTGCACTGAAGCACTGACACACATTTATGTCACATTCTTAGTAGAAAATATTTGGGGTTCAGAAGCAGCAACCACAAATAAACAGAACTATTCACATCTGTATAGATGATAATAATCCTTTAATGTAAGAAGCTGTGAGTCCAAATTTCACTGGAATTCTTCCCTAGAACTAGTAAGAGAAGCATAACAAAAACAAGCAAATAAGTAGCCACTATTCACATCTGTATAGATGATAATAATCCTTTAATATAAGGAGCTGTGAGTCCAAATTTCACTGGAATTCTTCCCTAGAACTAGTAAGAGAAGCATAACAAAAACAAGCAAATGAGTAGCCAAAGCAACCCTAGGCAAAAAGCCCACAGGTTAACTTAAATGGCTCTGTACTTTAATAATGATAGACAACCTCCTTATTAATGGGTCACTTTGCTGAAGATTAGAATTTAATCTAGCCATTTTCTTATTCATCCAAATTAGATATGCATTTATCAGCTAAAACCCAAAGAGTTTACCCGTACCTCTCTGAAGAGTGCACCATAGAACTGAACAATGTATGGGCAATCACTACTCCGCATTACTACATCCAAATCCATGAGAAGTTGTTTTTGTTCTTTTTCATCCACAGTTGATCGTATTCTCTGGAAAAGAATGATAACAGATGTCATACAAACAGAACATTTTTAGAAACTTTAGTTAAACCTTTACCATAGCACTGGAAATTACCAAACTTCACAATATGAACCAGACAGGAAAATTACCAATTCTTTTACTTTATAATTGTTAAGTATCATCACAGAACATTTAACAAAAAGCACTCAGGAATTCTTTTAAGGGCACAGGACTCTGGATCACACATTCACTGATGATGGTGGGGGTTACACAACAATCAATGCTCTTAGGCTCTGAGAATTACACCCACATGCAAATACAAAGTAAATCATAGAGTATAGAAGTTTTCATATGAATAATTACAGGCAGTTTCACAACATATATTTTTAACCATCATCTCAGAACAGTATAGGCTCTAGCATCCAATGCAACAACAGCCTTAACTACCTAGCAGCTTCATTCACTAGACTGTGATGGAAAACAGTCTGGGACAGAAAAAGTGAGGACCAGTATGGGGAACATACAGAGGAGAATCTAAGCCTTTCAAATCCTGACTGAGGTCTTCCTTAATGAACTTCCTCTACATTTCAAACAGGAAGCTCTCCCTGGCTTTCCATTGGTGGTTTGGCATGCAGGTCAGCAGAAATCTGTGGGAAAACACTAAAATGGAGAAACAAAGGGCTCCTTTTGCCTGATCCTAAGCTGAAAAGACAGTCCTCTGTACACTGCAGACCTGGGGCAGAGTCCTAACCAAACTGTACAAGTCTGCACATTTCTAAGATTGTCAGAAAACATCTATACTCCACCTCCCAATCCGAACACTATAAAATACATAGGCTTCAGATGAACATTTCTACTGCACTAGTAAGATAGAAGAGAAAGTTCAGAAAATAAGACATTAATAATGGAAGAACAGTTTAACATTAAAGCATGCAAAGACCTTTTAGTCTCATAAAAAAGTTCACAATGTCACACTGTGTCACTACACAACACAAAGCACATACTTACAAGGTAAGTTAGTATCAAAAAATACACAAGGTAGCATTTTGTCCTCCAAGACTTCAAGGTATCTGTCCTCAATGTTCTTGCAAGGGGTGAAGGCAGTCAATTAAATTCTTGAGCCCATTTTACAGAAGAGAAGCCAGAGGCAGAGATACAAGAGAGTATTCCATGTGACACGAGAACAAGCAGTTAAAGAACAGAAGTGGGTTCTCTCTCAGTTTTATGTTTTGACACTACACCAGGCATCCATCCCATATACTCCAAATAGATTCTAAAAAAATGTATTTAATTAAAACGCATACCTTGCTAGCTACAGTGTTTCATACAAAAGGAAACGTCTTGACTTTGATTTAGAAGATTACATTGAATATCACTGTCATAGAATAAAGATAAAAGAATGAAAGACAGAAAAAACAACTAGCCCTGCAAGAACAGTTTCCTTCTTTCACTCTTATTTTCTCATTTCCATAGTTTGAGAATAACTTTACTTCTAAATCAACATTAACATCTTGCTGCAAAAGGATACCTGTTAAAAGTTTAAGTAAGCAGACATGTGATTTGTGCTTGCTCAAAACACAAACATGGCAAAGATAATTTTAATTAATAATCAGTAATTATTTGAATTATCATTTATTTTTATTTTAACAATACAATTTGAATGTGTGGTTGTAAAAACAGTCAATGTGATTTTTTAAAAGAATTTTTATTATTTCCACATATCAGAATTTAAAACAAAGAGTTTATAATTTAAATTAAAGAGAGAGAAAAAAATAAAAAACCTCACACTACCCTTTGGTTAAGATTTCTATGAATTCTCACTATTTAGGTTTTTTCTTAATTATTACTTTTTATCTTTTCTGCATATGTATATTAGTAAATATAACTATACTAACACACGATTAGAAAAGATGATTTTAAATTGTTTTCCTAGGTTTTCTAAGTTTACATTTTTACAAAGTTTATGTCTAAAAAAAATAACATTACAGTGAAAACCACAACAGTTCACACCCATGTCTGACTTCTGTAAGCAGATTTCCAAAAACTTGGCCGTAGCTAAAGAAAAAAAGTGTGCTACTCCACAGTGCAGAAAAGACCAGCTGAACGTTATAACAGCACTGGCAGCACTGTTACTAACTAGACTGTGGGGACAGTCCCTGGGCAGCTCTAGGTTTGGCAGGAGAATTTGCTTATCTGCAACACTGTATGCAGTTCACTTCTGCACATAAAGGAACACCACCACTGATGGCTTCTTGTCCACCACAACACTGGAACTCTGCACTATACTCACACCTCCTTACATTCATACTCTGTTCAAGAAGCACTGTGGGTAGAGGTGGACAGCCAGCTGCTGGGATTCTACCTGAATGGTTTTAGACTGAGAAAACACAGCTCAACAACTACAGAAAAGTTCCAAGACTGAGTTTTAACATTTATCTCAGTGAACACTGTAAAGTTTTAGTTTGTAAAAACTAAACCAATTCAAGAGGTCTAACAGTTCTCCCAAAGGAAAATTAACTAAAAGTATATACCTATATTAACAGTACATTCAAGTTGATGACTCCAATTCAGGACCTTGATAAAGAACTCAAGTTATACAATATCTTCAGATAATGAGTAGTATAGAGCTAGTAGTAACACAGTCACTACCAGGACACTTTCTTACGGGAAATCAAAGCAGTGGCATGGGAAAGGTTTCCACCATTTGCAACAAGTGAGGCCAATGTGGGCTAACACCAAGGGAGCAGAACCCCGAAAAGCTGAACATGTCAGTAAGAACAACCTCCCCTTTCCTTCCCAGGCTGTCCTTAATTCCAGCCACAGGAACACAGAAATGCAAAAATGAAACACACTCACCACGCTCAGAGGTGTTTAGAAACATGGTTAAGCTCACCATGCTTAGAAACCAGGGAACTCATGCACTGGTTTCTAAGAAATGTTCACTTATTTACATCTTAAATTTAAGCTGAGTAGGAGTGATATTATCTTGGGCAGCACAAGCCTTTATCTTTTTCTTCTTTCTTTTTTCTTACTCAAAAGAGTAGATGAAATATTCATAAGAAACCATGAAACACTTTAAAAAGTCATCTCATGATTAAAGAAATTTCAATTACAATCAAATATAGGGAAAGGCTACAAAATCATACTTTTCTTTATTATGGTCATTCTGAGCTTTTTACTGGTCACTAATTTATTAACAGTGTTTAGTGAGCATGTGCCTCTGAGAAAACAGCTGTCATTCTTGAAAAGTAATTCACATCTCTTTCTAATACAAAAGTATCTTTGGCCTATTCCTATTTTTACTTTATTTAAATGTAACATAGTTTAAATAAACATCTAAAATAGTAATGGGAAATTGTAACATTCATATACAAAGTTTTTTTTTCAGTGAAGAAATTATATTCTCCAAGCAGCAAAATATTTTAGTTGTCCAAATTTGTATTCAAGATCATTTAAGTAACTGGTAAGACTTTAAAAGCAGATAAACATCAATAAAATAAGTCAGTAGGTATGATCAGAAATGCCAAATGGCTCCACTATCATCACAGAGGGAAAATACAAGCTAAATGTGTTGCTCTCTAGCTTTTGGAATAGTGCTATCTTTTATGGCTCTTTAAATAAAAATAAACACAAAAGATCTTCATTCTCCTAAAATCACTACAACAGAATGTACCACCAGCAAGAGATGTGAATTCAGATAAGAAATACAAAAAGGAGATGTCCTACACACTGCTATAGCCCCATCACTCCAAACAACCTTCTTCTGGGCCACATAAAATTGTAAGAATTTTTATTTTCTGTCTTCCACTGACTCATATCCCTGCTGAACAAGTTCATCCTTAGAGTCTCTATATGGATAACACATTTAAATTCCCAAGACCTCTCAGAGCACCATAACTAACAAGGACAACCAGATGGCAGTATCATCCAAAACAAACAGGGAAGGTGAGGTGTGGGGAGGAGTATGAAACGCAGATCAAAGATATATGTGTTTTCATGTTCAAAAGTAATAAACTTTATCTACTGAGTATTGCAAGGGTATTTTCAGTTACTAAATCCAGAAGAAAGGATGTGAAGTTTAGCTGTAAGCTCATGGAAGTCTTTTAAATCAATCTATAAAATTTTAGTTTTATTTTTATCAAATTAACAAATTAATATTAGTATTTCCCATTTTTCTCATTGAGAACACCAGGGCCTGATACTTTTTACATATTCTGGCTGTGCACTGAGAACTTGGAAGAATATGTCATATCCCACCATAGGAAGAACACAGAGTTAATAAAGGTGCTTCTTCTTCTTCACTGAACACATCATGTGTATTCAAACAGCATGATACTGACCAGCACTAAGGTTTGTAAGGTCTAAAGATCATGTCATCACTCCTGTACCTATGACATTAAAAGAGACATTGGTCCAAATATAAAGAACAGGCAGGGGTAAGATCTTAAGACAGTAAGCAGTGTTAGGAAATATACCAAATGATAGTTCAGATGTTCCCAAGGGGAGTAACATACTATGCCTAGTTTTCTTCAAATAGCTATATATGCTGGGATATAATTCAGTTATCACAATTCAGGTAAGTCAGTTTCAAAAACTAGATTCAAGAACACACAATGGGTGGTTAAAATTCACCTATAAACAAGCATATCCGAACTAACTTTCTCCAACTCTCAAGTTTCCTTTAAACTGGTACTCTGAAGGTTTTCAAACTTCTTCCCTCCTGGTCCCAAGACCTTCCCTCTTACTTTATTTGCTTGTTTGTTTGCTTTATGGTAAATACTGAACCCAGGACTTTAGACATGCTAAAATATATTCTACCACGTGACTATTTTCTAAGCCTCTTCTAACCCCTAATGATCTATCTATCTTATTTACTGAATTTCATGTCAAACTTTAACAAGAAAGAACCCACACTATAAAAACCACTAACTTGGAACTACAACAAAGAAAGATAGATGTAATTCAAAACCCAGTCTGACTGGAGGCAGCTTCTATGTCATATCTGGAAGTCCCCACTCTTAGGCAGCCA